ACTCATGTGGAATCATCCTCAGGTAGTGTAGATTCAAGCTTGTTCAAATCATGACCCCTGGGGCTAGGGTGGGGCCAAAATGGCCAACCCAAGTTTTACATAGCAATATATAGGAAAAATCTTTTTCCCATGAACCACTGGGCCAGGAAAGATAAAACTCATGCGGAATCATCCTCAGGTAGTCTGGATTCATGTTTGTTCAAATCATGACCCCTGGGGCAAGGGTGGGGCCAAAATGGCCGACCCAAGTTTTACATAGGAATATAAAGGAAAAATATTTAAAAATCATCTTCTCCAGAACCACTGGACCAGGAAAGATGAATTTTATGTGGAATCATCCTCATGTAGTGTTGATTCAGGTTTGTTCAAATCATGGCCCCCGGGGCAAGGATGGGGCCAAAATTGCCGACCCAAGTTTTACATAGGAATATAAAGGAAAAATATTTAAAAATCATCTTCTCCAGAACCACTGGACCAGGAAAGATGAATTTCATGTGGAATCATCCTCAGGTAGTGTAGATTCAATTTTGTTCAAATCATGACCCCTGGGGCTAGGGTGGGGCCAAAATGGCCAACCCAAGTTTTACATAGGAATATATAGGACAAATCTTTTTCTCCAGATCCACTGGGCCAGGAAAGATGAAACAAATGTGGAATCATCCTCAGGTAGTCTGGATTCAAGTTTGTTCAAATAATGACCCCTGGGGCAAAGGTGGGGCCAAAATGGACAACCCAAGTTTTACATAGGAATATGTATTAGAAAAATCTTTAAAAATCTTTTTCTCCAGAACCACTGGACAAGGAAAGATGAAACTTGTGTGGAATCATCCTCAGGTAGTGTGGATTCAAGTTTGTTCAAATCATGACCCTAAGGGAAAGGTTGGGGCCAAAATGGTCGACCCAAGTTTTACATAGGATTGATAGGAATATATTGGAAAAATCTTTAAACATCTTCTTCTCCAGAACCACTGGACCAAGAAAGATGAATTTCATGTGGAATCATCCTCAGGAAGTGTTGATTCAAGTTTGTTCAAATCATGACCCCCTGGGCAAGGGTGGGGCCAAAATTGCCGACCCAAGTTTTACATAGGATTAATAGGAATATATAGGGAAAATCTTTTAAAATCTTCTTCTCCATAACCACTGGACCAGGAAAGATGAAACTCATGTGGAATCATCATCAGGAAGTGTTGATTCAAGTTTGTTCAAATCATGACCCCCTGGGCAAGGGTGGGGCCAAAATTGCCTACCCATTCTTAACATAGGAATATATAGTAAAAATCTTCTCCAGAACCACTGGGCCAGGAAAGATGAAACTCGTGTGGAATCATCCTCAGGTAGTGTTGATTCATATTTGTTCAAATCATGACCCCTGGGGCAAGGGTTGGGCCAATATGGCTGACCCAAGTTCAACATAGGAATTCATAGGAAAAATCTTTAAAAATCTTCTTCTCCAGAACCACTGGACCAGGAAAGATGAAACTCATGTGGAATCATCCTCATGTCGTTTTACATAGGAATATATATGCAAGTTACTTTAAAAATCTTCTTCTCAAGAACCACTGGACCAGGAAAGATGAAACTCATGTGAAATAATCATCAGGTACTGTAGATTCATGTTTGTTCGAATCATGACCCCCGAGGCAAGGGTGGGGTCAAAATGGCCGACCCAAGTTTTACAAAGGAATAGAAAGGAAAAATCTTAAAAAATCTTCTTATCCAGAACCACTGGGCCAGGAAAGATGAAACTCATGTGGAATCATCCTCAGGTAGTGTAGATTCAAGTTTGTTCAAATCATGACCCCCGGGGGTAGGGTGGGGCCAGAATGGCCGATCAAAGTTTTACATAGGAATATATAGGAAATATCTTAAAAAATCTTTTTCCCATGAACCACTGGGCCTGGAAAGATTAAACTCATGTGGAATCATCCTCAGATAGTGTAGATTCAAGTTTGTTCAAATCAAGACACCCTGGAGAGTTTAAGATCAAGCCCCCTCTCCCCCCAACCCCCAGTAAACTTTTAGTTCTGATCTGATATGTGCTTTTTCCTAGTCAATTGCTCACGTGAGTGGTGTGGCCTCTGGGCCTCTTGTTAGAGGCATGTGCTCTAGGACATGTTGTAAGAGAATTGACCTGCAAATATATGTCTTTTATGGGTGTTTTAGTTAGTTTAAGACTTATTTAAGGTATTTAAATAAAAAAAATTATCAGTTTGACAGAAAATTCTAAAAGTACCGACCCACCTTAAATCATACCCCAGCCCCCATGGGGCTCATATTTTCCTAATTAAAAAAAAATGTTGAAATTAAATGTGTTTACAAACGGGAAATCATTTTTTTATTTAACAGTTGCTGATGATGACTCAACATTAAGGACATTCATAAGAATACACTCTGCAGATTTGAAACCAGACACGAGCAGTGCAGTTGACAGTTCTGATTCAAATGATAATAAAGGCAATTTGGAACAGAAAAATATAGATAAAGGCACGGAAGTAATTTATAGCCGAGAAGAAAAGGAAGAAGAGAATGTAGAAATACAAAGTGCGCCAAATGGAGACTCAGAAGAAGAAAGCACTATAGAGAAAATGGCAGGTGTTATCTCTTCAGAAGCACAAGCAATGGTAAAAGATGAAATTTTCCAAAATATTTTGTCTGAAAAAGAAAAGTTACCAACAGTCAGCATGCTTGATTTTGCTGGTCAGTTAGCGTATTATGCCTGTCACCAAATTTACGTAACACCAAAGGCCTTCTTCATCCTTGTGTTGGACATGACTAAGAAGTTTGAGGATGTTGTCGATAAAGAGAAAGATAATCAAGAAGGATTAATCTTCTCTGTGTGGACATACAAAGGTAAAAGTTGTTTGTATAGTCATAGACTTCTATCGGATTGACTCTTTGCTAGATAAAAAAATTAATTCTCGTACATGTCTTGAGGCAGTTGGAGTTAAACAAGGGTTCAAATACATTAGTTAGCTATGCATAATAAATTTTCTATTGAAATACATGTGTATAACTTTTAATCTCACCTGAGCTGAAGGTTCAAGTGAGCTTTTCTGATCAATTTTTATCTGTCGTACGTCTGTCCATCTATTTTTAGTTCACATGAGCCGTAGGCTCAAGTGAGCTTTTCTGATCAAATTTTGTCCATAGTCTGTCCGTCCGTCTGTAATCTTTTAACATTTTCAACTTCTTCTCAAGAATCACTGGGTCAATTTTGATCAAACTTGGTAAAAAGCATTCGTGGAGGATGGGGACTTTATATTGTTAAAATAAAGGGCCAGGTCCCCTTCCAAGGGGAAAAAATCAAGAAAAGACAAAAAAAAACATGGGATCATTCAAAAAAAATTCTTTTAAAAAACCACTGGGCCAGGAAAGCTGAAACTTATGTAGAAGCATCCTTGGGTAGTGTATAAAAATTGATAAAATTATGACCTCGGGGGTAGGGCGGGGCCACAATAGGAAATTAAAGTTTTACATAGAAATATATAGGAAAATCTTTTAAAATCTTCTCCTCAAGAACCAGTGGGCCAGAAAAGCTGAAACATATATGGAAGCATCCTGGGGTAGAGAAGATAATAAATTCTTAAAATCATGACACTTGGGGGTAGGGCAGGGCTTCAAAAGGAAATCTAAGTTTTACATAGAAATATATAGGAAAAATCTTTAAAAATCTTCTTCTCAAGAACCAGTTGGGCAGAAAAGCTGAAACTTATGTAGAAACATCTTTGGAAAGTGTAGATTCAAAATGCAACAAGAGGCCCAGGGTCCACAGTGGCCATTTTGGCCCAACCCTTGCTGCTGGGGCCATGATTTGTACAAACTTGAATCTACAATACCTGAGGATGATTACACATGAGTTTCATCTTTCCTGGCCCAGTGGTTCTTGAGAAAAAAAGACTTTTAAAGATTTTTCTTATATATTCCTATGTAAAACTAGGGTCGGCCATTTTGGCCTCATCCTTGCCCCTGGGACCATGATTTGTAAAACTTGAATCTACAATACCTGAGGATGCATCCACATGAGTTTCATCTTTCCTGGCCAAGTGGTTCTTGAAAAGAAGATTTTTAAAGATTTTTCTTATATATTCCTATATGTAAAACTAGGGTCGCCCATTTTGGCCCCATCCTTGCTCCAGGAGTCATGATTTGAACAAACTTGAACCTACACTACCTGAGGATTCATCTCTCCTGGCCCAGTGGTTCTTGAGAAAAAGATTTTTCCTATATATAATTTATGTAAAATTTTGATTCCCTATTGTGAACCCGCCCTACCCCCCGGGGTCACGATTTTAACAATTTTAATTCTACATTACCCAAGGATGCTTCCACATAAGGGGGGGGGGAGGTAAATTTGGCTCAGCCGTTCTTGACTGTCTTGACTAGAAGTTGAAAATGTGAAAAGTTGACAGACAGACAAAACAAGTGGCCCATTGGCCACATCGCTCACCTGAGTTACTTTTGTGATGGAGTTCTTTACCAGATTTTCCCTCTTTTTATATCTATATATAAAAATAAATCTGATTTTTTTACTGTTGTATTAAAATAATCTATGAGAAGATTGTACTTCTTAAAAGGAAATACATTATACTTACTACCAGAACACTGTTTACTGAAAATTTATTCATTCTTTTTTGTGCATAGGTGAAAAATAATTAAAAGATTAACATTTAATTTGTTTTGACAGTTATTATCATATTGTAAGATAGGTAATTCAAGAACACAACTACAATTTATTAACTAAAAAGAATGTAAAATGTCAATAAACAATGTACTAATGTATTTTGTCTTTCGTCATTCAATAAACAGTCAAAGCATTAAGTATGAACTCCTGTCATTTAAGAACTCAACAGTAGAGCTCCAGACTTATCAAAGACTGCTGGTTTTTTTTCCCTTCAAATCTCAACAGAAAAATGTGTTCTGCTTAAATATTTATCACAAAAAAACTTGACACATGCTCTCTTTTACTGAAACAGGCGTTGAATAATTCAAAGTATCTGAAGTGTACAAAAGCTATACAATTTGGCACATCATTTTATTGTTTATTCTTCTTTGAAAAAAGCTCTGGAATTCTCTTGAAAATCCTCCCCCCTTTTAGCAGTTTCAATAAGACTTGGTATTCAAGTATACTTTTCTCAGGTACACTGAGTACACACCAGTAGAGCTTCAGTCTCATCAGAGAAACACAAGTTCCTATAATAATGAAGTTGTTTTTTTGTAGATTACCTGAAGTTTTGGATAACCTCAATCAAGACATTTGGAGGCAAAAAGGCACCTTTGCTTCTTGTTGTTACACATACAGAAAGAAAATCTATAGATGTAAGTATTAAGACTATCATAATTTTATTTCATGTGATCTGAAAGCGCTTGTGAAACCATTTTTCTTTTCATTATCAGTTTTATATCTCCATATTTTTTTGTTGTTTGTTCAAGTACGGAAGCCCAATAGTGCAAACCAAAAATATATAAAGAAAAACGAAATTAATATATATAGGAAAACCAAAAATATATAAAGGAAAACCAAAAATATATAAAGAAAAACTAAAAATATATAACGAAAAACGGAATTAATATAAAAAAAAACGGAATTAATATAAAGAAAAACGGAATTAATATAAAGAAAAACGGAATTAATATATAAAGGAAAACCAAAAATATATAAAGAAAAACCAAAAATATATAAAGAAAAACCAAAAATATATAAAGAAAAACCAAAAATATATGAAGAAAAAACCAAAAATATATAAAGAAAAACGGAAATAATATATAAATAAAAACGGAATAAATATATAAAGAAAAACGGAATTAATATATAAAGAAAAACGGAATTAATATATAAAGAAAAACGAAATTATTTAAAGTAGAAAAACTTCACTTAAAATACGGAATTTATTGAGGTGCACGGTATGGGTATGAACCCATAAATCATTAGTGCACCGCGTCTGATAGACCTGATTTTGTTTCGACAATAAACAAGCGTGGTGTTTGCCTTTACATTCACCTTTTCCTATATCGAAAACACATCCATTACAATACATGAATGGGGAGAATTTAATCTTTAATATCTAATTGCACAACTATTTAAGAAAACATGAACTTTAAGATTCCGTTGTTTACAACATTTAACATTCAGGAATCCCTTATCCATTATTCAACTATCGCACAATATATTCATTAAAATGTTGTAAAATAATACGTTATCGATCGGACTTGGGTTTGTTTGACATTATAAAAAAAATTGTTTAAAGAGAACAGGTGCAAAAAGTAAAACAAGTCAAAGTGGTTACAAGTAGATTTTAATGATTGTTTACTATATTAGAAATAAAGCAAATCACCTTCAGTTGATTCTTTCATTTCATTAACGCGTAATTAGAGGTTATATATTGGCTACTAAGTACTTGCTCTCACATATTACAAATGTCCAACTCTCAATATGTACTATTTGTGAGTCAGTGGTACTATAGTTCTTGCTCTCATATATTTTAAATGACAAACTCTCAATTTGTGTATTTATAAGTCGGTGACAATGCACAAACTTGTAAATAACAAATCCCTCAAAGTAATGAAATCATTTTTCTAATAGTTTCAACAATCTAGGATTTATGGGTACACAGATTAGGACGCAAGGTTTAGTTCGTGAGAATCCAGTAATACGATACGCAAGGTCGTGACCTTCTAGCTGAGCTCTAATGGGCTTCAACAAAGCCCAATAGTGCAAACCAGAAATAAATAAAGAAAAACGAAATTATTAAATAAAGGAAAAACGAAATTATTAAATAAAGAAAAACGAAATTATTAAATAAAGGAAAAACGAAATTATTCAATAAAGAAAAAACGAAATTATTAAATAAATGAAAAACGAAATTATTATATAAAGAAAAACAAAATCATTAAATAAAGAACCAAAGGCCCATAGGCCCAATCGCTCACCTGAGCACGGTGGCTAAGAAAAAGTAAAGAAATTGGATTATTATTAAAAAGTTTAAATCCGAAAGTAATCCAATGACCAATCATGGCTTTGGTATTATTTAGAACATGAATTTTAAAAGAATATTCCTCTATATGTCTATGTAAAACTTTATCGGTCATTGTGGCTCGGTCCCCCCCCCAACCCCCATCCCAGGGTCATGATTTGTACAAACCTGAAACTGCACAAGCTGAGGATGCTTTCATATAAATATGACCAATTATGGCTTTGCGTTTCATAAGAAAAAGATTTGTTTTAACAATTCCTATATATCTTTTGTAAAACTTTGGTCAGCCATTGTGGCCCCGCCCTACCCAAGGGGGTAATGATTTGAACAAACTTGAATCTCCACTAGCTGAGGATGCTTCCATATATATATGAAAATTTATGTCTTTGCAATTCTTGAGAAGAAGATTTTTAATGAATTTTCCCATATATTTCTATTTTAAACTTTGGTCGGCCATTTTGGCCCCGCCCTACCCCCGGGGGTCATGATTTGTTCAAACTTAAATCTACACTATCTGAGGATGTTTCCACATAAGTTTCATCTTTCCTGGCACAGTGGTTCTTGAGAAGAAGATTTTTAAAACATACCATCAAATTTTCATTAATTCCCAATTATCTCCCCTTGAATGAGGGCGTGGCCCTTCATTTGAAGAAACTTAAATTCCCTTTACCCAAGGATGCTTTGTGGCAAGTTTGGTTGAAATTGGCCAAGCGGTTCATGACAAGAAGTCGAAAATGTGAAAAGTTTACAGACGCTTTCAGCTCAGGTGAGCTAAAAACGAAATTATTAAGTTAAGATAGCATCGTTGATAAGTTTAACAAAACAAAATGCGATGATAAGGGTTCCAGTCACGCGTGGTTCATTCCACAGTGAGTGTGTCTTCAGCGCCAGACAGGGACATGCTGGACGAAGAATTTTAGAAATGTCCACAAGAAGAAAAAAATGCCATTTTAGAAATGTGTTCTTGTATTGCGACGTCCTTGTGAAATGAGGGGAATGTAGACTGAAGTAAAAATATCCACGAAGTAATCAAATCATCCTCGTTTTTGTTTCAACAACCCGTGATTTATGAATATACAGATGGGGCGCTAGGCTTATTCCGGAGGGATTTTTTAATACGATACGCAAGGTCTTGACCTGTCAGCGATTCAAGCGATTTGAATTGGATGTCATTGATTTCAATCAAGCAGAAACAGCCACCCTCATGATCCTCTATCCATAATGCTACACATCAACAAATTACGTATACCGCTGAACAATTATTGACAATTTACTTCAAACATTAGACTGAAGTATTTGTTTCAGTTGATGTTTTCTCACTCTCCTTTTTATTTAATAATTTCGTTTATCTTTATTAAATAATTTCGTTTTCTTTATATGTTAATTCTGTTTTTCTTTATTTATTAATTTCGTTTTCTTTATAAATTGATTTCGTTTTTCTTTATATATTAATTCCGTTTTTCTTTATATATTAATTTCGTTTTTCTTTATATATTAATTCCGTTTTTCTTTATATATTAATTCCGTTTTTCTTTATATATTAATTCCGTTTTTCTTTATATATTAATTTCGTTTGTCTTTATATCTTAATTCCGTTTTTTCTTTATATATAAATTCCGTTTTCCTTTATATATTTTTGGTTTTCCTTTATATATTTTTGGTTTTCCTTTATATATTTTTGGTTTTCCTTTATATATTTTTGGTTTTCCTTTATATATTATTTCCGTTTTTCTTTATATATTAATTCCGTTTTTCTTTATATATTTTTGGTTTGCACTATTGGGCTTCCGTATTCAAGACTAGGCAGGGTTGTTTTAAAAAAGAGTTTTTATGTGTTATCATCCATAGATTGGGGCGGCATATTATTTTTGTCCTGTATGTCTGTTTTTGACTGTTGTCAACTTCAGCCTTTTCCATTATTTATGGTCCCGTGGGGATCCGGGTTAGAATAGGTCCCCAGTATCCCCTTGCTTGTCGTAAAAGGCAACTAAATGGGGCGGTCCTTTGGATGAGACCGTATAAACCGAGGCCCCGTGTCACAGCAGGTGTGGCACGATAAAGATCCCTCCCTGCTCAATGGCCCTGAGTGCCGAGCATAGGCCCAAATCTGCAGCCCTTCAACGGCAATGGTGACGTTCCCATATCAGTGAAATATTCTGGAGAGGGACGTTAAACAACATACAATCAATCAATCATTATTTATGAACCGCGAGAGGTAGAGACTTCATATTTCTAATTTGATATGAATATTCAACTAATTACGCTTTTTCAAATGACCTTGACTTTGACCTTATGCTGAATATGTCTTTTTGAACCTGTGCTATAACTTTTGAATGTTATGGGATAGAGAAATCATGTTTGGTAAGCATACTCACCATTATGTAATATCGTGAGTACTTTGCAGTAACTTAACTTATTACCCCTCTTTTGTGGGAGAGTTAATAAAGCTTGAATTGTTAAATTGTTAAACAAGGATTTTTTACTGATCTGTAATTAAAAATTCTACAATGATCGTTCCACATTTGTCCCCATCCAAGAGATGTTTCCTACCTCCATTGAAAAAAATTTTCAATAAGTTATTGTGGTATCAAATATTTAAGATTCTACCAATTGACTTCAATGTCAGTGACCTGGCCCCGCCGTCACCAACACTCCTCATTTCAATACTCAGCCTCAACTCTGAGGTTTTCCCTCAAATCCTTTACCTCACCCTCAAGTCACCGTCACCACGCAAAAATTGAGTTTTCCTCAGTAGAATTTTGAGGAAATACTCAAATATTTAAGTATAACTCTTTAGCAACCTTAAATTCTTACTCAAGAAATTAAAATGGCGGAAAGACGTCGCAGACGTAGGAAATATCAAAGATTTCTACAAATTAGAAATCGGCCATTAAAGAGAACGATTAGAGACAGGACAAATCCTTTTGAAATTTACAATGATGAGGAATTGTTTGACCGTTTCAGGTTTAGGAGGCCTACAATTATGCATATATTGCAGAAAATTGATCACAATCTTGTAAACAGTGCGAGGAATAATGCCTTTACGGCTTACCTCCACTTATGCAACTTTTGGTTTGTTTACGGTTTTTTGCTACCGGGGCATTCCACAAACTTATTGGAGACAGCTTCAATGTGTCCGAGTGCACTGTGGGAAGGTGCTGTCGTGCCGTGGCCAATGCCATCGTCGGCGTCCGAAGCGACTTTATTGAATTTCCCAAGGATCACAAGGCCAGGGAAACCAAACAAGAATTCTTGAAAATTGCAGGTAAACTAAACCAGTCTGCTAGCCTTTACTTTCTTTTTAATATTTTACAAGAGAGATAACTCATGCACATCATTATCTTTGAAAGCTCGTACGTTGGAATGTCGACTATTGCTACTATATGTGATGTAACCTTACACAGGATATTTGTTTAGTCAATTTAATGACAAAATAACTCATGTATACTTAAATTCTATGTAATAATCTGTATAAGTGTCTAACGTTATATATTGCTATTCATTTTTCCTTTCATCCCTCGATTGATTCGTTTTTTTTTTTAATACCTTTTTAGCATTATATTATATATAAGGACCTCAAGAGGCAATGCGATTATTACAATGTACAGTATGATTACAATTGAAATATATTAAAGAGTATTGTAACGTCAAATAAGAAGAATTTGATCTATATATCTATTTCATGGAGGTACCAAATGGGGTATATAGTAAAGAGACTTTAAAACTATTAAAATATTCATATACAACTTAGCACATTTTCTTGTTGGAGCAACTAAATACCGAAAGCCACAGCACACACATTTTAAACAATGTAATATCAGTTATGATCGATACAGATACACAATTTTTTAGGGTTTCCAAATGTTTTGGGATGTGTAGACGGAACTTTCATAAGAATTATTGGTCCATCTGAAAATGAAGCCGATTTCGTCAATAGAAAGGGTTTTCACTCACTCAATGTTCAGGTACATATACTTTTTTTTAAATACATGTACGTTATACTGGAATAGAAATATAACAAAAAATATATACAAATGCACAATAAATATTTCTGATTTAGATGGTGTGCGATGCAAAATTTAAATTTACAAGTGTCTGCGCTACCTGGCCAGGTAGCGTACACGACAGCCGAGTTTGGAGGGAATCTGCCCTGTGCCGACAATTTGAACAAGGTAAGTTCATATCACGTAATTTACATAGGTAAGCAGCTTCGGAACACGTAAAAATTTCACCAATGGAATTGTCCCCTCATTTGTCCTCCAGAAGAAAAAAATCTACAGCAGATATGCAGCATCGGGGGGGGGGGGGGGGGGGGGGGAGCTTAACCCCCCTTCCCCCTTTTTTTTTTTTAACAGAGATGTTCTCTGTTGGAAATGTTGCCCCCCCCCCCTCACGAAGTAGGATTTTCGTTTAATTTCTTTTTTTTTTAATATATGATTTGCTTTTCAAGCCTCGGACCTCCCCCCTTTTTTTTTTAAAAACTAAGCACTTATAATCATTGTGCGACTTCCTCCAGTTCCGTGTGGTTTAACGAAGTACTCCAACAAAAATGTTGATACTTGCTGCATGTAATATTCAACTTTTAAAAACAGGTGAACACAATGGATTTCTTCTTGGAGATTCGGGGTATCCTTGTCGTCGATACCTGATGACACCCTACCTCAATCCTGCCACTGATGCTCAACAGCGTTTCAACGCCTCGCTCTGTCGAACAAGAGTGCTTGTTGAGCAGAGCTTTGGAATTTTAAAGAGACGTTTTGCATGCCTTCAAGCAACACTAAGGCAGGTTTTCTTATTTTTCAAATTACAAAACGTTTTAACGAAATTTATTTTAGGATGTGATATAAATATTTATAAATATGTTTTTACAACTGTAGGACGAATCCTGATCAAGCTGCAACGTATGTTGTCGCATGTGTTGTTTTGCATAACATTGGGATAGAGAGTGGCGATGTTATGGACAAGGGCTGTGACGCTGCAGATGCCAATAGTAATCAGGCAGATCACCAAGTAGCCTACAACGCTCAAGAGGGTAGTCACATGCGAGATTATATAGCAAACACATATTTTGGATAAACGTACGTAAATACATTTAACATAAACATGTTGAAGTATTTTAATATATAGTGATTATACTTGATGATGGAGATGTCGTTTATGATTTTGTTTTTATTTCAGATGTAATATATGTAGACCCAGAGAAGATTTGGATTAAGAAAACAAACGCATGTGACGATAACTCATTGTCTTGTAGCATGTTAATTTATTAAGTGCATGTTTTAAAAACACTAGATAAATTGAAAACAATAAAAATAAATAATACACGACTTTCCCATTCCTCACATGGCTGTCATTTGTTAATTCTTTTATGAACTGGTCATATGTACATCCAGCAAATTTTCTGGAAATTCAGCATTAAGCTTGTACAGAAGATACACTTTTTTTGTTTCAATATAATCAATTTCTATCTCCAACTTCCTTTTCTCTAATTTAATTTTTTCAATTTCCTCTTTCATTTTCTCATTCTCTAGATTTAGATTGTCAATTTCTCCCCCTTCTATCTCTCTCCGTCCATTCCTCTGTTTGTTTGATTTTCGACCACGATTTGGCTGTCTGTCTGATAAATAAATAAAAGTATCACTATATTTATAATCACTTTTCCTAATCGTTTTTTTAGTGATATATACATATACACTGTATATAAGATTATAGGACGATGACCGTCATACCTTTGATTGTGGAGTTACAGTCACCAGTTGAGTCGACAGTTCTATTGCTTGTACTTGGCTCATCCTCCATTTCGTGACTAATCGGTGAAATATCTATTTTTAGTTGTAAAAGTTAACTTACATTCATGTTGTATACACAAATTTTAAGAGGACATAAATACTTTTATTTTTATGAAATTAATTCGTCGCTCAAAATTATCGGCCTCATAAAAACCTAATTATTACCATCTGTATCGATCCCGCCGACCAATCCGACAATATTAGGTCGTGAATCCATGGCTTGATAGAGAGTTTCCTCGGCTGGGGTCATGGGTGCCGGTGGAGGACCTCCTCCAGTCTTGGGGCGGCGAATCCCATCAATATTATCTTTAGCTACAGGTCAAATAATGTATAAATGCTTTTTTAATGCTAAATTCTCTCAAAAGTTAAAATAATACATAATTATCGGCCGCAGCAGCGGCCGATCTATTTGTGGTTGTGTTAGAAAGTGCACATGGGGAAATGAGGAGTTATTTTTCATTAGTTCAGTAAATAATTCTTGATTGATAAAAAGTAAAAATCATGAGTAAAATATTTTTTTCAAAAATTGCTTTAATATTAGCATTAACTGTTGTTATTACATTTTAATTTCATTATCATTTCTCGTCAGAAAATTGATAATTTATTGTTATATAAAAAGAGTGTACAATAGATACTCCCCGGTCTGGGAGTGTGTAAGATATGAAAGTAAATCGCCATGAATTTCCGGAAAATATTGACGTGATGAAACTGCATGGTGAAAATTCAACTCAGTAAAAATATTGTTTTGGATCTGCTCTAAAGCTGCAAATGATGCAAAGATATTTTCCCTACATTTTGCACCGCGGCTTGTAGCAGAGCCTACTCTGCATAAGCCATGGACATTATCACGTGACAAAGATCCAGGGTATCAGCACGTGGTTTATCTTGAGAGGGCTACATCATCATTTTCAATAAATTCTCATCATTCATCATTGACTTATTATTTTTTACGTCGATGAATCAATTTATGAGCAAATGCGGTAAAATGTCTATTTATTAATTTAAACAAAAAAAAAATTACTTTGCTTTGAAGAGCTGAAAAAAGGGTGGAAAAAAAGATTCAACCATTTCTCCTTTGAATATCTTGACGTGATTTCCTAGCATGTGAAAGATTTTTTTTACTGCTAAATTTTGTTTGCGGCCGATTTGATGCTTTGCATCAATTTAACTTGTTATTTCTGTTTTGGGGGTCAACACGATGATTTAGCCAACTGAGGAGTACTTGTTCAATATTTACCGAGCCTGGAGGGTTGTTTAATTTTATTCGAATTAATTGTTGGATTTCAGTCAATCATACATTAGTCAATCAAATTAAAATGATAATAATAATGCTGATCTTGATATTTACCTCTCTGTTTGATGTTGTCATATTTTTTTGAAATGGTATCCGATGTTCTCTCATTTCTGAATTGTCTGCATTTGAAAAAGAACTTTTAATTTCAAAAAAGGAACAATATACTACATGTAGTATACATGTAGATCTTCATTAGCTCGTCGTTTGGGATTCTTTAACCGATTTAATGTATTAGAAAAAAAATATATTTTCCGATTTCAATATCATTATCATCGGAATACGAGCCATAAATTTTTAATTTTTGTTTCTTGTTTTTTTTTTAAATGGGAAAAATACGTGATGAATCAATGTTAAACTTGACCAATTCATTTTACGCCTTAATGGATTAAAAATTAAGTGATACAATATGTAGATGTCATTTTTTTTTTTTTTTTGATTTTAGATCTAAGAACAGATTATTATTCTATAAAATAATCTGGACTGGCTGCATGCACAAATATACTATCGGCACAGTTGCAAGATTTTTTTTTCTGTAAAAAAGTGGGGGGGGGGGTATGGGGGTGTCAACTTTTTCCAAAAAAATTAACAGAAATTTGTTGACAAGCCCCTACCCCAAACATTTATTAGAATAAAGTAATTTCGTTTCCAAACATGAAAAGCATACTCGATTTCGTATGCATTTATTTTAATGATTATTATTTTTATTTTTTTATTATCACCAAAAATTCACTGTGTTTCGGTTGTTGCAAGTCAGAATGATAATTACGTGCAGTTGATTTATTGAGAGTCAAATGACTAGTGAGTAAGTGATTTATATACGCATTCAATGACATCCTTTTGAAAACGCCCCCCCCCCCCCCCCCTCCTTATGAATTTCATAATTGAATTTAAAGAATATAAAAATTAAATGGATCAACTTACAAATTAGAGATACAAATGGAAGATTAGTTCTAATATCCCAGTGCTTGCATAATGAAAAAAGGGTTACTAAAATTCACGCAAAAGGGGGATATAACGCTACACATTAAGAAATACTAGGCCTACAACGAAAACAGTAAGAGAAGTATATATATTTAGTTTATTTTTCATGTATATCAAAGTTTTGTACCAAATACGATAAACAAAAGGAATTAAGAATGCTTGGAGTGATGAGAAAATAGCTGAGAAATTAATATTGTTGACGGGCTGAAATAAACTAGCATAAATTTTGTGTATGCACCTGATACTAAGGGAGATAATAATGCGAATCATCTGGTCGACTTGTAAACAGTGAAGAGGGGGTAAGTTAAATGTTGACATCAAGTTAAAATACATATAGAATACTTACAGATTGAGGGTGTCCGTAATAGACTGCCACGTCTCTTCTTTTATTTTGTTATGTTTCCCCTTAATACCCGCCACTTTCATTTTGCCAAATAGTTGCCCCTCAAACTTGAGGACTTCCTCAATCAAAACAATTTCTTCCTCGGAGGACCAATTGGCCCCCCTCTTCCTCTTTGCAGCAGAAATTAGGTTTTCGATTTCTTTTTCAGCCATTTTATGAAATAATAAACACAGACGACAAAATTTATTGCGTAAAATCGTTACGTAAAAAAAATCCGCGAAATCACGCGAAAATTTTCATGTACGTATTCAGCTGAGTTGAGTGTAATTTTCTAGCCTAAACTGAGGTATTCCTCAAGCCGTTTGGTGACGGTGAATGGAGGGAAATCTCAGTTGAGGCTACCTCAGTGACTTGAGTTGAGGTTAGAGGTTGAGGTAAATAAAATTTTGGTGACGGCGGGGCCTGGTGACCTTGAATTTGATCAATTTATAAAAAAAAATAGCTTTTTTATACCCCGGTTCCGAAGGAGAGGGGGGTATACTGTTTTACCCTTGTGTGTCTGTCTGTCCGTGTGTCTGTGTGTCCGTGTGTCTCTGTGTCCGTGTGTCCGTCCGTAACAAATTTTCGTCGCAGTTTTCTCAGCAACTACTCATCGTAGATGCTTGAAATTTTTACACAATCTTTTTTCTGAGGCATGCTAGATGGTGGGATACATTTTCTCTCAAATCCGATATTTACTTCCTGTTTGTCTGTGCGTCTGTCTGTTTCATACATAACAAATTTTTCGTCGAGCTTTTCTCAGCCATTACTCATCGTAGATGCTTGAAATTTTAACACAATCTTCTCTGAGGCATGCCATATGGTGGGATACATTTTGATTTAAACCCGATGTCAACTTCCTGTTTGTCTGTGTGTCTGTCCATCTCATAAATAACAAATTTTCGTCGCAGTTTTCTCAGCAACTACTCATCATAGATGCTTGAAATTTTAAAACAATCTTCTCTGAGGCATGCCATATGGTGGGATACATTTTTGTTCAAATCCAATGTCAACTTCCTGTTTGTCTGTGTGTCTCTCCGTTTCATTTAAACAAATTTTCGTCGCGCTTTTCTCAGCAACTACTCATCATAGATGCTTGAAATTTAAACACAATCTTCTTTGAGGCATGCCATATGGTGGGATACATTTTTGTTCAAATCCGATGTCAACTTCCTGTTTGTCTGTCTGTCGGTCTGTTTCATAAATAACAATTTTCTGTTGCAGTTTTCTCAGCAACTACTCATCGTAGATGCTTGAAATTTTAACACAATCTTCTCTGAGGCATGCCATATGATTGGATACATTTTTGTTCAAATCCAATGTCAACTTCCTGTTTGTCTGTGTGTCTCTCCATTTCATACATAACAAATTTTTGTCACGCTTTTCTCAGCAACTACTCATCGTACATGCTTGAAATTTTAATACAATCTTCTCTGAGGCATGCCATATGGTGGGATACATTTTTGTTCAAATCCAATGTCAACTTCCTGTTTGTCTGTGTGTCTCTCCGTTTAATTTAAACAAATTTTCGTCGCGCTTTTCTCAGCAACTACTCATCATAGATGCTTGAAATTTAAACACAATCTTCTTTGAGGCATGCCATATGGTGGGATACATTTTTGTTCAAATCCGATGTCAACTTCCTGTTTGACTGTCTGTCGGTCTGTTTCATAAATAACAAATTAAAGTTGCAGTTTTCTCAGCAACTACTCATTCGCAGATGCTTGAAATTTTAACACAATCTTCTCTGAGGCATGCCATATGACTGGATACATTTTTGTTCAAATCCAATGTCAACTTCCTGTTTGTCTGTGTGTCTCTCCATTTCATACATAACAAATTTTTGTCACGCTTTTCTCAGCAACTACTCATCGTACATGCTTGAAATTTTAATACAATCTTCTCTGAGGCATGCCATATGGTGGGATACATTTTCGTTTAAATCCAATGTCAACTTCCTGTTTGTCTGTGTGTCTGTCTGTTTCATAAATAACAAATTTTTGTCGCAGTTTTCTCATTAGTTATTCATAGTGGATGCTTTAAATTTCTTTACACTCTTTGTTGAGGCATGCTTTTATGGTGAGAATAATTCTGATATGAATCTGATGTCATCATCATATTTTTCTTTGCATCTGCCTGTAATTGAACTTACGTATATTAACATGATAGTGCTTATTTACATCAGAGCGGGGGTATTACCAGTGAGCATTGGCTCACAGATTTCTTGTTTCAAACCTTTACCATAACTTTAACCATTGGTGATGTAAACTTCATATTTGGTATGCTTACTCCACTAATTAAGTGCTACCAAGTGATTTCAAGGTCAATGACCTTGTGACTTTGACTTTTACCTATATGCTAAAAGATTTTTTCCAACTTTGTTTCTGCTAGGCACACACAGAATTCATGGCATGGTTGTCTATCAACTTGTCTGTAAACAATGATTTTAGGAATAACATATATCCAATTAATCTAAATCTGACTCTATTTGATCCAATCAGTGACCATTTTAGAGTTTTTAGAAATTTTTATTTGTTTGTAGCTACTAAGCCTTTCGAAACTTGCATGGGTAATCCATTTTGGGATGTTCACTACCAAATTTGCTTTAGATGATGGTTATATGTAGAATTTCTTGAAAAAAGCATAGCTTAAAAATAATTGAGCAATTTATTCCAATGAAAAACATAAAGGATTTAAGAATTAGTGGTTCTATAAAATGAAAAAAAAATTAAATTTATATGATTTAAAGTTGTCATATAAGAAAAACCTGAGAGTAAATTTCGGTTTCAGAGAAGAGAAGATTGAAAATAATTATATCAAAGTTTGTTTTTTTTTTTTTTTGGGGGGGGGGGGGGGGGAGGGGGTGGCATGTAAAAAAAGATATTTTCTTACCTTAATTTGTGCATTTGTAAATTCAACACTTCATTTATTTGAAAATCTGATATAAAGGGAATTCAGAGCTACAGTAAAAACTCATCTCATGTACAAGGGGTTATCAAAAAGTTCGTAGACGGGCGCCATAAAATTAAAACCGCTTACCGCTATAGCTATATCAATGAATTTTTAAATATATGATTAGCATAATCTTTTCTATCTATGAAATAGACCGCAGATCATAAATTTAATTTTTAAATAAATCAGTAATGTTTTCGTAAGCTATGGTATGTCCAGGCGGCAAAACCTCGAATATGGCTTTTTTTCGACCGAAGCATAACTAAGAAAAACGTTTTTGAGAACAATCTTATTAATACGAGTATATGTTGGGACACCATTGCTTCATAAAATATCAAGTTTTTAATTCATTCTGAAAGTTCTATTATAATTTATTGTAAATTTGACATGAAGTGTCTAAACAAATAAGTCCTTGAAAATGACGTCAAAAGGTAGGGGTGGGGGGGTCATTTTCCAACATTCTTTAAAGTTTTGACCCTGAAAAAAGTGGTATATACCTAGGAAATGTTTAAACTAGCTATGAAGAAATTAAATGCGTCCAGAATACTTGTTTTTAAAGCAAAAGAGGTTCAGAGGGAAAAGGGATGCACAGTTAATGTCGATTCTTAGTCAAGGTGTGAAAAATCCAAAAATGACGTTGCTCATATAATGTAGATATTAAACTTCCAAAAGCAAAATATGCTGGCACAATTTAGCGAGGATCTCTCCCAAAGTATCAGTCCATTTGCAATATTACATCATTTAAAGCCGCTGTTCGTGACATTGGAAAGTCATAAAAACAAGACGGGTTTAAGTGAAACTAAATGACGACGGTGCCGGGTAACCAAATAATGTCTTTTTTATTAGCTCACCTGAGCCAAAGGCTCAAGTGAGCTTTTCTGATCACATTTTGTCCGTCGTCCGTCCGTCTGTCCGTCTTTAAACTTTTCACATTTTCGACTTCTTCTCAAGAACCACTGGGCCAATTTTGACCAAACTTGGTACAAAGCATCCTTGGATTAAGGAAAATTTTAATTGTTAAAATGAAGGGACAAATCTCCTCGCAAGGGGAGATAATCAAGAAAAGACAAAAATAGGTTGGGGTCATTAAAAAATCTTCTTCTCAAAAACCACTGGGCAAGTAAAGCTGAAACTTATGTTGAAGCATCCTGGTATAGTGTAGATTTAAAATTGGTAAAATCATGACCCCCGGGGGAAGGGTGGGGCCACAATGGGGAATCAAAGTTTTACATAGAAATATAGAGGAAAATTCTTTGAAAAGCTTCTTTTCAAGAACCACTGGGCCGGAAAATCTGAAACTTATATGGAAGCATCCTGGGGTATTGTAGATTCTAAATTATTCAAATCATGACCCCCAGGGGAAGGGCGGGGCCACAATGGGGAATCAAAGTTTTACATAGAAATATATAGGAAAAATCTTTGAAAATCTTCTCCTCAAGAACCACTGTGCCAATAAAGCTGAAACTTATTTGAAAGCATCCTGGTATAATGTAGATTCTTAATTATTCAAATAGTGACCCCTGGGGGATGGGTGGGGCCACAATGGGGAATCAAAGATTTATATAGAACTATATAGGAAACATCTTTAAAAATCTTCTTCTCAAGAACCACTGGGCCAGAAAAAGTGAAGATTATGTGGAAGCATTCTGGGGTAGTGTAAATTCTAAATTGTAGGAATCATGACCCCGGGGGAAGGGCGGGGCCATTACAGGAATTAAAGTTTTACATAGAAATATATATAGGAAAAATTTTTGAAAATCTTCTCAGGAACCACTGGACACAAATGCTGAAACATATGTTCCCATGGAAGGATCATGGGGTAGTGTAGATTTCAAAATGTCTAAATTATGATCAGTGGGGTAGGGTGGGAATGCATTATGTATAACAAGGGTGAAATCTGGTAAAGAACAGAATGGTCAAAGCTTCTCAGGTGAGCGATGTGGCCCATGGACCTCTTGTTTTATCATATTTTAGCAAAAAATGAACGAATCAAGCTATATAAAATTTTCAATTTTTTCTTATTTTTTGTTGCTTTATGTCTTTCATAATTTTTGAAAGTATAGACAACATAAAACTAATTTTAAAGCCTCAGTCCACGAACTTTTTGAAAACCCCTCGTATATAAGCCTATAATTGAATTCTTTTGTATTGATTGAAAAGAAAATATTATATTGAAATAGAAAAGAAAAGATATAATGAAAAGAAAAGAAAACAAACAAACAAAATTTACAATTTACATTCCTTTAAAAAGCGATTGTAACAGCACCATCATGCACAATTAAGACAGCAAACAATTGAACCTGATGCATGCACGTTCTCTCCAGGTACACTAACCGTCACACAATTTCATTAAGGATCCTGCACAACTGGTTTGCAAACAGTAACTTTGCAACCTCTGAAACTGTACCTGGTGCATCTAGCCATACATTTTTTGGTGATATCACCTTTTAGAAATAAGTCTGTTTCCAAGTTAGTTAGAGTCATACCATGTCGTACATGCATAAATGTTATTATTAAGGATTGCTCATCATTCTAACGTGCGTTTGATGTCAACACTCCAATATTTTGATATCCTTTTCAGGAAATAGAAAAGTATTTGAGGGAGTTCTGGAAAGCTGTACCAGATGAGGACAGAGATTGGTTAAGTAAGTCTCTGAATGACCGGGAATACTCTGTGGGTCTACTGGAACTTAATGAGAAAACAACGGAAACGCTGGAATCAATTAAAAAGTCTGTAGTCCAACTATTTGCCGATGATGTCAATACAAAAATTGAAATGCCTTCTTCGTGGGCTCTTATGGAACAATTATTATATGAAGGAGGGTGGAAAGTTTTGTCCCTTGATGAAATAAGAAGGCTCAATTCATCCCTTCCTGAAGAATACCAAATTAAAAGTGATGAGGAAATATCTAAGTTTTTGAAGTGTTTCCATGATAATGGGCTTCTTTTGTATTTCAAAGAAGGGAAATTAAGGGAACATGCAATACTGGACATTCAATGGTTTGCTAATGCTTTCAGTAAGATAATTGCTGATGAAAACCACATCAATAAAGATTGTAAAAGGAGATTAATCAAAGAATGGAAATCCTTCAACAAAACGGGGGAACTCAAAGACAAAGTGGTAGACGCACTGTGGAAAGATGAACCTTCATACCTGGAACACAAAAGTGAAATTATGTCTTACATGGAGAAGCTTCAAATGCTTGTATCTTTGGAGACTTCCGGTAACATGACATGGTATGTCCCAAGTATGAACAAAAAACAGTTTAAAGCTGACTTTTGCGAGGAAATGTGGGAATGCTCATCCATTTTGTGCTTCCGATTCACTTCCTTTGCTATGTTTGTGTTCTACAGACTGGTAGCATTTTGCATAAGTTCTCTTGGATGGAGTATTGCTAAAGATGATGATAATGAAGGAGATTTATGTCTTTATCAAACAGCGGCAGTGTTTGATCACAAAGAACACACTGTTGTTGTTGGCATATGTAACGATGATATTCAGTTACAAGTGCTACGTCACAGCCGCTTAGCGGTAGACAAAGACGTATCAAATGAAATTGGAGATTGCATTGAACAGGCCTTAGGAAAATTGACGGAAATATTTCTTATGGAAAATATATTCCTAAGAGGATTCAAATGTCAAAACATTATTTGTAATGAGAAAGATATATCGTTTACCCTTGCTAGTGAGCTCTCCAAAATTAAGGCCGAAGAAACACAATGCAAGTGTCGAATTCAAGAGAAACATGTGATAAATGTACAAAGGACTCTTAGTTTCTGGGAAAAGGTAATCATCTTTCTACCGTTATACCCCCTCCCATCGGCCTCCATAAACAAAGTGTTTACTGGAATCAGTACATAGGAATCAAATTGTCTGTTCATTTGTATAGTCATGACAGGCCCATAGCAGATTTTTTACATTCCTATATTCTCAAAAACATTATCTGAATAGCATTCAATTTATACCTTTACTTTAAAAACATTTTAAATATTATCTGCTTTAGGATAATTTATTTGTTTATGATAAAAATATTTTCTTTTTAGTTTGGGAGGCTTTTTTTTTTCTTGAGTGTATACCTAAAATTTTATTTTAATTATGTTGCTTTATCAAGTTTAATTTCATTATATTTCAGAAAGAGGCAAACAATTCTAGCACTAGACACATTCTGGCAGACCGATCTAGATTTGCAAAGCTTGGAATGGCAACAAACGATGTGTTAAATCAGGCATACCGAGATGTGCTTGAGTGGGAAATACACCCTTCCCTAGTTTATAACAGAGTGAAGACGTCATCAATTTATAAAACATTACGCTCAGATCAAGAAGATCTCTTAAAAACAGCTGCAAGCTCTGGATATAAGAATTTTGATATTTCATTAATCTATATGTTGATCAGAAACATTGGTTCTAAGATCCCTAAACCAACAAAAGGAAAATGGGGAGGCAACAGTATGCCTACAGCAGGAGAGATAAGGGTGGGTGATGATGTGGAGCGAATCAGAATAATCCGAAACTCTCTGACTGCACACGTGAGCTCAGCCTCCACCCCTCAGACAGAATTCGATGACACGTGGTTGATGATGTCAGATATCTGCAAAAGACTAGAAACCTTCACTGGAAAGAAGTACTTAGATGATCTTAATAGCATTCAAAAATTGACTTTAAAGGAGGAAGAGGAAGATGCTATTATAGAAAAAGTTAAAATGGAAAGTCAGTATGAAATGATGAAGGCGGTGATGTCAGATGTACAAGAAATTAAAAAGACAATATCAAAGCCTGAAACAAAAGATGCTTCGAATTAAGGTTAAGAATACTACACGTAGAACGCTGTTGGGAATACTTTTATAACTTAATTAAACTATATTGAAATCACAATCAAAGAAGAATGATTTTATATGACTTTTATTATATTAACATTCACTGATTTTTGTAAAAATACAAGACATTGGGTCGTTGGATTTTAATTTTGAGACCCAGTTAGAAAAACTTTTAATTCATTTTGGTGTTTGGAGGACTCGGCATTCAATACAATTTCGAGGTATTTTAAACATTTTCATCATCATCTCTGAAAGGGCTGGATAATTATTCCAAAACTTGCAGACTGATCAAGATTTGCAAAGCTGGAAATGGCATCAAAGGACGTGTTAAATCATGCGTACAGGGATGTGCTTGAGTGGTAATTACACTTTTTCCTTCTTTATAACACAGTGGAGATGTCATCAACGTATAAAACATTACGCTCAGATCAAGAAGATCTCTTGAAAACAGCTACCAACTCTGGATATATTTTGATATTTCATTGATGTATATGTTGATCAGAAAAATTTGCACAAAGATCCCTAAGCCAACAAAAGAAAAATGGGGAGGCAACAGTATGCCTACAGCAGGAGAGATGTCTGCCAAAGATTGGAAACCTTCACTGGAAAGACATTGGGTGACAGGGTTGTTGGATTTTAATTTTGAGACCCAGTTAGAAAGACTTAACTTATTTTGGTGTTTGGAGGACTCGACATTCAATACAATTTCGAGGTATTTTAAACATTTTCATCGTCATCTCTGAATAATTATTCCATAATTGGATAATTATTCCAAAACATGCTGACCAATCAAGATTTGCAAAGCTTGAAATGGTAACAAACTAAAAATTCCATATTTTTGCAGTTTCTGTTCATTTTATTTGGAGAGGTTGCACATATTGGAATGGAATTTAATTAGTATACAAATTAGTCAGATGACTATCTAGGTCAAGTTATGATCCTCTTGTTACTTATGTAGAAGCTCATGAGGTAATGCACACCCTAGATTGTTCAAAATGTGACAAATGTGATCCCCCCCCCCCAAGTCAAAATAGGGAATCTAAGTTTAACATTCAAATATAAGGGGAAGACTGGGTCAGGAAAGATGAACCTTCCTGGGGTAGTGTAGATTCTGAATTGCACAAATCATGGCTCCAGGGCATTATGTTTTACATTTAAATATACCCCCCCCCCCTCCCCAAAAAAAAAATTAAAAATCTCAATATTAACTGTGTCAGAAAATTTCTAAATTGTTCAGCAAATGATCTCCTCTGACAGGTTTGGACAATAATAAGGAATTCAAGGGTTTTTTCAATTAAAGAATGCCTTTTATTGCATTTTTTAGCTCTTCTGAGCCAAAGGCTCAAAGAGCTAATGCTATGGCCATTTGTGCGGTGTGTGTTAACTTTTTAGAATATGGACAATGACTCAAGAACCCGTTGGTCAATCAGTACCAAATTTGTCACAAGGTATCCTTGGTCCACGAGCTACCATTTATACTAAAATAAGGGTTGGGACCCTAAAACAAGGGGAGATAATCAGGAAAACAAAACCAAAAGTACTGGTTGCTAAAAAATTTTCTTCTCCAGAACCACCAGGCAGATTTTCACCAAACTTACATACAAGGATCAGGATATGTTGAAGGTAAAAAATTGTTTAAGGCATAACCCTGGGTAACCTAGGGCGTGGTCTCAAGGTCAATTCAAAGTTGACCTAAATTCACATTTAATTAAAAAAGTTTATATTTTGCTTAATATAAGGACTAGGATCATTTAATCTTGTAAGTTGATGCATCTTAGTACTTCACATCATGTTAACTCAAAAGTAGGTCACGATGACCTACTTTTAAAATTTTGCAGGGATTTGTTTTCAAATTGATTGAAGGCATATTTTGGACACTTTAAGGCCTATAATCATCAAACTTTGTCAGTTGATGCATCTTGGGTCTTTGAACAATATCAACTTAAAAGTAGGTCACTGTGACCTACTTTTTGAACTTGATGACTTATCCTTTTAAAAACATTAAATCCCATTATTTCAGACACTGGGAGGTTTAGAATCATCAAGTCTTGTACTTTGATGCATCTAGGGACCTTAAAACATATTTATAAGAAAGTAGGTAACTGTGACCTACTTTTTGAATTTTGCCGACATTTATTTTCAAATTGTTTAAAACTCATATTTTGATTACCTTCAGACCTACGATCATCAAACTTGGTCAGTAGATGCATCTTGGGTCTTTGAAAATATGTCAACCAAAATTTAGGTCACGATGACCTACTATCGAGATTGTTATGGCTATATTTCAGTATTTTAGGCATTTATTGGCTTAGAATCATCAAACTTTGTGAGTGGCTGCATATGTAGTTTTCGGAGAGTGACGACCAAAAAGTAGGTCAAAAACGGTCAAAAAGTAGGCATAGTGACCTACTTTTGACATTTTGTGGCTATATTTAAGTCTCTCTAAATTTTATTGACCTAAAATCATCAAACTTTGTCAGATAATGCATCTTGGGTTTTCGGAGAGTGACGACTAAAAAGTAGGTCACATTCACCTACTTTTGAATATCTCAAGTACATATTAGCTAGGAATCATCAAACTTTGTCAGTTTAGCCACCTTGGGTTTTCGGAGAAGGTGGACCAAAAACTAGGTCACTGTGACCTAGTTTTGAATATGTCAGGTACATAATAGCTTAGAATCATCAAACTTTGTCAGTTTAGACATCTTTGGTTTTCGGAGAACGTCGACTAAAAAGTAGGTCACTGTGACCTACTTTTGACATTTTTTGGCTATATTTGATTATATCTGGTACTTATTGGCTCAGAATCATCAAACTTTGTCAGTTGAGGCATCTTACGGTTTCATTGAATGTCCAACAAGAAGTAGGTCACGTGACCTACTTTTGATTATCTCAGGTACTTATTGGCTTAGAATCAGCAAATTTTCTCAGTTTAGGCATCTTGGATGTTTGGATAACGTCGTCCAAAAAGTAGGTCACCATGACCTACTTTTGACATTTGATGGCTTTATTTAATTATCTCTGGAACTAATTGGCTTAGAATTGTTAAACTTTGTCAGATTATGCATCTTGGGTTTTCAGAGATTGTTGACCAAAAAGTAGGTCATGGTGACCTACTTTTGAATATCTAGGGTACTTATTTAATTGGAATCATCAGTCTTTTTCCATTAATGTATCTTGAGTCCTCAGAAAATTCCAGTCAAAAGGTAGATCACTTTGACCTACTTATGGTATTTGATAATTATATTATAATATCTTCAGTCTTAACTGGCTAAATATTATCAAACTTTGTAAGTTGATGCATTTTGGGTCTTATGATTCTTAAGGAGTTGGAGGCTTCTAATAGAAGTAATAAATTGTACAATTTATCAGAAGAGCTATTCAAGGCCCTTGGGCCTCTTGTTTTTCATTTATAAAGCAGTGGATTTCAGAGAAGATACTTTACCAGTGATGAAAAAAAAACAGCCAAGGATGAATCGAGTTTAAGGAGGGATAGGAGGACCTACACGTAGGCAGGGTTGTGGCCATTACACCAATTCGTCAAAAAGATGTGGATGGAGAGCCATGGTTGGCCTTGACAAATGAAGTTGCTAAAGCAAAGATTAAAGTGTCATGGCTGCAGGGGAGCTACATCACCAGTTGGATACCCAATCCAGACTTTGAAGGGTGTGCTCCAGATAGCATCCCTAGGAATAGGGTGGCATGTAGTTTTAAGTTTATCAGCGATAAAATCTTGCCTGGCTACATTAGAGATAAGCTAAAGAAAATATTTGAAAATTAAGACATAAGAAATTCTATATTAATATGCCACTAATAAGTAGTGACAATAGTATTGGAACCATCAGTATTGGTCTCCGCTACCATTACATAGTTTCATTTTGACATGCCAGTGCAATCTGTTGTGTGTTTTATTAACTTGTATTTTTTTATCTTACATTTCTTGCGCTAACTGAATTTACAATAGCATTTGCTCATAGCTTTGAGAAGAACCAACAATGACTTATTACAAACAATTACTGGATTGACATCCATGTGAAGTATTTAAAGTCAATCTTATAAATGAATTGTACTTTGTGTATGTCATGCAAAGAAATGAAATTTGATGAATGACACATTTAATGTCAATATGTCATATTTATTTTTTGTTATTTATGTTTATCCATTAATGCATTTGAAATTGGGAGAGGAACGTTCCTCGCAAGATTTTTTTGTTAAAGATTCATTTATATAATGAGTTCACTTGTAATTGGGAGAGGAACGTATTTTCCTCGCAGGTTTTTGTTAAAGACTCATGTATATCTTGAGTTCACTTGAAATTAGGAGAGGAACGTTCCTCACAGTCACAGTTTTTTTCTTGCTAAGGCCACAGTTATTATATCTTTCGGTTTACGGATCCGCCGACCCGATTTTTTCAGGTTCTGGAAAATAAAAATAATGGATTTTATCACCACTTTCGATAATTTTCCGGAAAATTCATGCCTGATCATCAGGGTTCTTATATTTATAACACGTCTGAGTCCCAAACATGTACTAAAACGTGTCATTCTTTCAAACGTTTCAGTGACCACATAAACAAAAACGTGTAAACATGGCGGCAAGCATGTTTTTATTTTGAAGTGCGGTCAAAATATCTTGAAGATAGCACGATGTCCAGAAACTTTTCACAGAGAATGAAAGAAAAGCAAACTATGGGAGATGCAATATTTCTTTCCAAAGAGTCCCGTTAAAAACATAATCTTCTGTGATTTTTATGGAAATAAAAATAACCACCAAATATCAGCTGTTTCAATGACATAACTTCGCTATTTTTTTCATTGGTAATATTTTTCTTCCAATTCAAAAATAAGGTATTAACATGATTAATATGTTGAAACTGGACAAACATTATAGAAATTGCACACAAAGACTATGTACGTTTTTTTCAACTTGAATTTATTCCCCAAACCCAGACACATGGTGACATGCTAAACTTTTTCTGATAAGTGTATGAAACAAAGAAAATATCGATATAACCAAACAAATAGCTTGTTATCATGGTTATAGGTCCCAGATACATGCCTTTGATGTTGACATTTTACTTTGACCGCCATTGGTAGATATAAGGTCATGCTAATAAAAGGAAAAAAGGAAATAGGCAACATTGTAGGGTTTTACTAAAAGACGTAAAGATAATATGGAACTTTGTATTGATAATCAATATAATTTAGTTTACAAGATTATGAATCTAAATCAAAGTAAATAAGTTGGGTTTTTTTTTTTTTTTTGTAAAAAAAAATTAAATAAATAAGCATGCTCCCAATATTCCATGATCAACATCTTTAATATTTAAAAGACTTTTTTTTTTAATGATTTCAAATAATATCTGAAGTTAACCTTTCAGTAAAATTATTTTTAGTTCCCTTTATTTGATTCTCTGATTTTTACCAATTCAAAATATGGGTGGTTGTGTTTTTTAAAATCAGCGATATCGATGTTCCGTTTGAAAGAAGTTTCAAATTATTTTTATTTTTATTTTGTCGCCACCCAATGGACATTTTGGTTGAAAAAATCCGTAAACCTAAAGATAAAATAACTCTGGCCTAAAGATTCAGGTACGTGTAGAGTTCATTTGGAACTGGGAGAGGAATGTTCCTCACAAGTTAAAGAATAAAGGATCGCAAAGTTTGAATTTTTAGCTCACCTGAGCCAAAGGCTCAAGTGAGCTTTTCTGATCACATTTTGTCTGGTGTCCGTCTGTCTGTCTGCCTGTCTGTCCGTCTGTCTGTCCGTAAACTTTTCACATTTTCGACTTCTTCTCAAGAACCGCTGGGCCAAATTAAACCAAAGAATGGGTGGACTTAACGCCCTATTTTGGATTTTTTTGCAACTCCTCTTACAATCTGTATATGAAGTGAATCCAAAATAAATTATGTGCAATTAAAAGAGCAACATATACTTGGTTATATTATGCGGAACATTTCTGCCAAAACAATGCCCTATTGTCGTGTATCAAAATTGAAGCAACGATACTTGAGTGTCGTCTTCCGGAATTCGACATGTACCCGGAGTGGTTTTTATGTCACACAATCAATATTTATAGGAGGCGGGGCTATCGAGGCGGGGCTATCATTGTTGACATCTCTCTCTCTATCCCTCTCTCTTTCCAAAAATTCGAATACGTGTTTAGCATTTTACAGCGATGTCAATATAAAATTATTTTAAAAATGAGATGAAACGCAAAATTAAAACAATTTTTAATTTGCTAAACTCTGAAAACAGCAACAAAACACACTCAAAGACATGATTTAGATCGAGGTCAGGGCGAAGAATACAATGTAACTGTTTTCACGAGTACCCTCGCAGGTGGACATCACGTGACGAATTGTAATATTAAAGAGGTCAATCGAAGACATTTCAATGGAAGCGGAAATAACGAACAGTATTCAATCTCAACGTCCATTAAACAAATATACAAAATAAGAGCAGAGCAAACACTGACCTCCGAAACATCAGAGGTGGGATCAGGTGCCATGGAGGAGTCAGCATCCCCTGCCGACCGGTCACACCCGCCGTGTGCTCATTGTCATAATCAGGAAATAACGGAAAAAAAATCCGTAGTCAATTCAGTGTATAAATAATGGACTAACAATTGGTATGAAAAACGTCAGTCAGCATTTCATTCAATGATAAATTGTATTTGCTGACAAGGTCATTGTATCGACCATAGAATTTACGAAATGATGACTTTAAACGAGACTGTTGATATTCTTGTTTCATCAACTTGCTTGTCAATAATTTACCTCGTTTAAGAAATTGTTCATACGTAGAGCATGCTCTTGCGTATCGAATCAACTGAGATATAAATACTCCGTATGCAGGTGATGAAGGTATAATGCTGCATAAGTAAGGGAAGTTGACGATAGAAAAGTTAAAGTCATCACGTTTATCATATAGCTTGGTTGTTAGATTACCATTTGTGTCTTTTTCAAGTAAAATATCCAAGTATGAAGCAGAAGTGTTGGATTCTGTGGTATCTTTTATCTCAAGCTCACCAGGATATATCGTGTCGACGTAGGAATGGAAATTATCATTATTAATTGACGATATATCTAAATGTCGAGTTGAAGGCCACAGCAAGTGTTTTTTTCTTTTCACGCAAAAAATTTGAATAAATTCTGCTTCATATGAATATAAAAATAAGTCTGCTAATAACGGAGCGCAATTTGTACCCATGGGAATTCCAATAGATTGTTGGAATACCTGGTCTCCAAAAACCACATAGATATTGTCAATCAGAAACTCAAGCATCTTCTTGATGTCAACTTCAGAGTACTTATGTGTACAATCAGAATCTGTTTTAACAAAATAATTTTTCAAATGACCAATGACGAGGTAAGTAAACTTACGAGTTCCATTTTTGTTGAAGAAGCAGCTGTCAATGATATCAAAAAGCCTGGATTTTAATTTGTCGTGCGGAATTGTTGTGTATAAAGTTGAAAAGTCGTAAGTTTTTATGCTGTTGATTTTTGTAAAGTCTTGTGATTTCAAATTGTCCAAAAGTTCTTTAGAATTTTTAAGTATCCACATCTGATTTACACCACTTCTTGAATATATAGTTGTACAGTACTCTTGAAGTTTTTCCTTCACTACTGTCAATATTTTAGTGAGAAGTAACGAAAGAGGCTTGGTTGAACATTTACTGGAACCTGCAATGTATCTTTGTTTGTAAGGATTCTTATGAAGTTTCGGAATCCAATATATATAAGGTAGTTCAAGTTCATTTTGGCTCTGTGGAATATTAAAAGTATTCAAAACTGACAGGTGATTTTGAAGAATTTCTTCCTTAGAAAGAGTAGTATATGTATAAGTAGGATTACCACTCGTGGAATTAAATCCAAGTTCTTCTAAAATGCAATTTATATAATGAGCCTTACAAACGAAGACAATGTTGTTACCTGCTTTGTCGGCAGGAACCAGTACGTACTGATCGTGTAATCTATCTAATTCTTTTTTCACTTCTGGTTTATTGAACACAGAAGGATAGATGGTTTTCATTTTGCCCCTCAATCTTTTAATACGTGACTTTAACATGGATCTGATACATTTAATCCATTCTGACAAGGTGTCAATGTCTTCTTTTTCATATCTAGCCCATCGTCTGGCGTAATTTTCAACAGAATCCATAATATTTATGAAATTCTGACGCCAGTTGAAGGATCGGGGTTCCCTATATTTAGGACCTTTTAAAATAAGTGATTTAAGGTCCTCATTACGAACTATATTTACGTCACCTGTAATAACGTGTCCAGCAGGACTATAGTTATAGGGCGAAGAAGAACATGAACACGAAAGGGGATTATTTTTTAGATAGTCGATATCCAGGCCATGTAAAGTATTTTTGTAATTGAAAAGTTTGGAAGCAATGGTCGATGTATATTTGTAGGAAATACAAGGCGTAGTCTTTAACTTGAAATATGGTGGAATATAAGACTGGACCCTTTTGTGATTAAGAATATTACTAATATTTACCGCGTCAATTCCTTTATTGGCATATTGAAGTTTAAGGAAAAGACGGATTGTTTTAGCTGCATTTTCTTCCGTGAAACGTGCGGGTTTAAAAAGCCTATGATGTGCAATATCCATAATCACAGAACCGAGCCTATATTCAGGTGTCGAGGAATCTAAATTTGGATGTTCCTTGGTCTTTTCAAGAAGACTATTTAAAAGTTTCAAAGGGACAGAGTAAAGTTTGTTCAAATCATGACCCCCGGGGGTAGGGCGGGGCGAAAATGGCCGACCAAAGTTTTATATAGAGATATATAGGTAAATTCTTTAAAAATCTTCTTCTCAAGAATGACAAAGCCATAATTCATATTTATATGGAAGCATGCTCAGGTAGTGTAGATTCAAGTTTGTTTAAATCATGAACCCCGGAGGTAGGGCGGGGCCAAAATGGCCGATAAAGTTTAACATAGAAATATATAAATAGGAAAAATTCTAAAAAAAAAAATAAAAAAATCTTCTCAAGAATGACAAAGCCATAATTCATCAAATTTATATGGAAGCATACTCTGGTAGTGTAGATTCAAGTTTGTTCAAATCATGACCCCTGGGGGTAGGGCGGGGCCAAAATGGCCAACCAAAGTTTTACATAGAAATATATAGGAAAATTCTTTAAAAATCTTCTTCTCAAGAATGACAAAGCCATAATTCATCATATTTATATATGGAAGCATGTTCAGGTAGTGTAAATTCAAGTTTGTTCAAATTATGACCCCCAGGGAAGGATGGGGCCAAAATGGCTGAAGTTTTACATAGAAATATATAGGAAA